TATTAATTTATATTATTTTATATATATATAAATTTATTATTAATTTATATTATTTTATATATATAAATTTATATTTTATTACTATTATATATATTTATTATATTATAATTAGCTACTGTTATAGTATATTATACTTATTATATATATATATATAGTTAGAATATTTAAAATTGAAGATGTACATAGTAATTTACAAATACTTACGTAATAGTTAAAAAGGAATAAAAAAAAAAAAAAAAAAAAGAAAAAAAAATGCACGTAATATTATCTTCCGAAAGAATCAGATGTTTCACCTTGTATTTATACACACACAAGGTGCACACTCAAACATATACACTTGACCTTCATCGTGAATTTAAATTTATAATTTAAAGATGATCTGTAGTTGTTGTAGGTAGGTAGTAGTGTGTCTTCTTTTTCATTCCAGTTTTTTTTTCTTTTTTTCTTTTTTTTTTTTTTTATTTTTTTTTCCTTTTTTCCAAAAGAATGAATCGAAAAATATTCATATGGAAAGTTTTGTTTTGTCCTTGACTTCGATTTATTAATGAGTCAAAACACACCTCTAATTGAAGGTTCATCTGACGAAAAAAAAAAAAAAGAGAGAAATAATTTGTCGTGTTTGATTTCTTTCGATGTTTGATCAAGTTGTTGTTTTTTTTTTTCTTTTTTTTTCTTTTTATGTAATTCTTCATTTTTTAATGATTCGTTCGTTGTAATCATTCGATATAATCATAATCTCGTTTAATCAAGTATACTATATATATATATATATATCTTTGCTTTATCGATAAGAAGAAGAAGAAGAAGAAGAAATGTTTGAAACGTTTGGTTGGTAGTTATGCGAGAGAGAGAGAGAGAGAGAGAGAGAGAGACCACCAGGAAGATTTTAACGAGCTAACTTTTCTAAGATAATTTATCTTTCATCGATCAAGGTCTTTCACTATAATTTTGTTCAAATAATATGTATATGATTTACTTCTTCTACTTTTTTATTATTATTATTATTATTATTATTATTATTATTATTATTTTATTATTATTATTACGTGTATCGTAATTATCCTATCACGTTATATCGTGCAACAATTTAAATGCATTCATTAAACAGAAAGAAAAAAAAAATAACAACAACAAAAAAAACGAGAAATAATAATTATATGAGTAGAAATATAAAATTAAATAAAATTAAATAAAATTAAATAAAATAAAATAAAGAAAGAAGAAAGAATGAAAGAAAGGCACGATGATATTCTGTGACGCATTAAATGACGTAAAAATTCTAATAACGCATGACGATCCCATGACAGTCCTTACAAAGAATGAATTCAGTTCTACCTGTTCACATATACATATATATATATA